TTACAACTCAGTAACTTTGCAACGAAAAACATAAATCTAATTATCAAAGATTATCATGCAGACAATTTATGGATATACATGCCACCATATATATATATGTGTGTGTATGTGCGTGCGTGTGTCTCTGTATGTGTGTGTCTGTGTGTATGTGTGCACGCATGCGTGTGTGCGTGTGTGTGGACTGTATTTGCAAATTGATTAAAAACATATCAACGCAACAATGAATGCTATTAATTATTAAAATATACATAAATTGAGAAAATTTATAAAAATAATTTTGTCCAAATTTTTATTTTTAAATATTATTTTACAATTTATTATGATTTAATTTTATTTTAAAATTTTATTTTTAGAAATATATTTTAAAAGTAAACAAATTTAACGTTAAATAAATTAACGCACAAATATTATCAATCCAAATAATGAGAAAAGTAAACTATTTTTTAAACAATAATTAAAAAAGACTTAAATGCATATTGAATATCGATAACACTTAAATAAATAATAGATAGATATATGGACATATACGTAAAAAAGAATGAAATAAGATAAAATCAAAAGAAATTCTATAACAATTAGTTTTAAAAGTGATAAATTTTTAAAAATAGATATACGTTTGTGATATGTAATATATTCATATATATATATATATATATATATAATATTATATTAAATTTGATAATGTAAATTAGTTGATAAATAAAAATAATGCATCCAATAAAAATAAATAAGTTATTCATTTACGTTTTGATAAAAAAATTATATTATTACGTGGTCAATTATAGAATTATATTGAAAACATTTCATAAGAATTTATCTAATATTATGATTATAATTAAAATTAAAATTAACATATATAAATATAAATTATATTAACAGTTTTAATAATAATTGTTATGAAATATAAATATATAATTATATTAATATAAAAATATTAAAACAATATTAACAAATATTTTTTTATTTATGTAAACATTATTTTATCATGTTTAGTATCTATATATTATTAAAGGTAAAATAATCTATTTGAATTTTTTTTGCTTAAAACTACATAGCCTAGACTCACTTTTTTTTTTTATTTATAAAAAAATCTAATTTTCTTTTTAGAATTAAAACCTTTTCTATTAAATATAAAACTAAATTATTAGACTTTAATAGAATTAATAATGTCAATTAAAGATATCACGTTTTTAATGGTTTTTATGTATTTTTTTTTTATATAGATTTTATGAGCTTTTTGTTGAATTTTTTACTTAAATAATACTATTTTAAAGAGAATTGCGTTATAATTTATTTGTATATGTAGTCAGTTGATAATATACAATATACTTCTAAATTTGATTTGTGCAGACACACAATTTGTTAATGCACATTTGATTTTTGGTTAAACTACATTAAGAAGTTATAACTAAGAATTATGATAAAGTATGAAAATAAATGCAAGTAAGAATTATGATAAAGTACGGAAACAAATGCAAGTTTAGTATAATACCGTACATTCCTTTACTTATTTTATAATGAAATATAATTTCTTTCTACAATAAAGTAGAACTTCTAGTAGCAATCATTTATTTTTAGTTGAATATGTTAATAATATTAATGTAGTAATCAATGATATTAATTATTATGATATACATACCTAAATTGAGATATTTAATATAATAATTTAAATCTTAAATTCTATCTTTAAATATTATTTAAAATAAATTATTATGATATTGTCAACTATTATTTTTTAAAATATACTTAAAATGTAAAAAGTTAAATTTTAAATTAACCTACTCACAAATATTACCAATACCAACCATGAATAAATAATCTATTTGTTTAAATACTGATTAAAAAGTATTACATATATTCAATATTGATAATAATTAAATTATAGATAAATAGAAAAATAATTTGACTACATCAAAAAGTTAAGTTCTATAACAATCAATTTTAAACTACACTAATGAAATTTTATTTAATAGAGTTTAATTACATTAAATTAATATTTAATAAAATATTAATCAAACCTTTTAATATAATGATGGTAACGTTTATCTTTACTTATTGAGGTTAACTTTGTATTTTTTTTACTCTTTGATTCACGAAAATCATCTTATGAACATTAATTAGTATTTGATTGTCAACTTTTAAATATTGCATGCATTATATCATGGATTTTAAAAGGAAATCTTGCACGTGTTGATTTATATATTTTTAACCAAATATCCAATTAAGCTAGAAAAATCCAAAAATCTATTTTAATTTTTTAGACTAATTATTAGTTTTTCCTTTTATAAATTTTAAATGTTATTATTATTATTATAATAGATATTTTAATAATAATAATAATTATTATTTTATTTTATATGCTTATTCTTTACTTTTTAATATTTTGTTATCATTATAAAAGTTAAGAAAGAATTAAGCATAGTCTTTTAAAATACTTGAATACTTGAATATCATATTTAATGATACTTCAAATACTTGAATATCATATTTAATGATTTAAATTCTTGAGAAAAGTTATTTCTCAACCTCTTATTTATAATGATTAGAAATAACTTACAACAATAATAAGGTACCTTGATCATAGGGGTTATACAATTAGACAATAAATACAATAAAATAATAACTAAAAAATAATAATAAAAATAGAAATATAAAATAATAATGATAAAGACCAAATAGAAATTAAGCATGAATCTGATGAAAATTTGGATTAAATCTAAGATGGAAATCTAGATCAAATCTAAAAACAAAAAAATTATTTTAATTCAATGACTGAATTTGTGATTGAAATTATATAAGATATTTAAATAAATTAATTAAATATAGTTAAATTAGTGACTAAAATAGCAACCAAATTGGGTAGAAGTATCAAAAGTGGTTTTTTAAAATTTCTTTTTTATTTTAGAGACAGATGTTGTGACTAAAATTATGTGTTGCTATTTTGGTCCCCACCACTTGAAGTGACCAAAATCTTAGTGATGGATATATTCTTTTTCAGTGACCAAAGATTTCAGTTGTTGTGACACCCTCTACCCCACATACATAATACATAATAAATATAAAGTACATTCCTGAGTAAATAAAAATTTCTTAATCGAAACAAGTTTCCAAAACACATAGATAGAGAGTTCACATTCATATTTTACAAATCGTACTCCAATGTGAAAATGATGACAAAATAAAATATTAATCTTTCCAAAACACAATAACAGTAATGAAACTCCAATGCTAATCCTAACTAAGCCCCAATGTCACATGTCCTATCAAAACACACCCTACAATGAGACTTAAACCTCATCACTAATATCCTTATGCTGATGATCACCTGCAACACAATAAAAATTCACATAGAGCAACAAGGGAGTGAGAAATATCTCACTCTGGTTCAGATGTAGAAATAAATGTTAGGCAACACACACAATCATAACAAATACCACATAAGTTACACATAACCAAGCACAACTCTCAAGTTATAGATACATTAGAATACATATACATTAACTTATCATGCAATAATTTCATGGACTCGACTCATAAATGCATTCATGTGACACCATAAGGAAGTTTTACTTTTCTCATCACTGGTATTTTGCTATAGCAACATACCTGTGGGCACGTTCATTCATGAATACATCACTAGTGACTAAAGGTACACCTAGAATAGCTCAATACATCTCTGGCATGCGGCCTAAGCGGCACAACTGGAATAGTTTAATACATCACTGGTGACCCAAGGTACACCTGAAATAGCTCAATACATCACTAGCATGCGGCCTAAGCAGCACACCTAGAATAGCTCAATACATCACTAGTGACCCAAGGTACACTTGGAATAGCACAATACATCACTGGCATGCGGCCTAAGAGGCAAACCTAGAGTCATATATGCACATGACGCATCACTAGTACAGAATATACATTTTACGTCAGTTATTTTAGGGGTTTTACGTCGGAAAAACCTCCAACGTCGAAGCGGGAGACGTAAATTTACGTCGGGGTGCAAAAAATGACGTAAATTTACGTCGGACATTACAAGGTCCGACGTAAAAAGTTGTAAAAAATTAAAAAAAAAGAAAAAAGAAAAATGACTGCAAGTAGAACGAGCCATTCTGGTTGGAGAACGGCCCGTTCTCCAAGCAGAACGGCCCGTGCTGCAACCTAGACTTGGTCACTTCCTTCTCCAGCTTCAAAAACTTGGGAAAGTTGAAGTATTTGGGCGAAAGAACCCACTGCCCCAAGACATGAAAAAATCCATTTTTTTCAGTGAGAAAACATTGTCAAGTGAAGAAAACGAAGAAAAGGGGAAATGGGTACCTTGTTGTACAAAATGACGCTGGAAAAAAGTAAGATGTAGATGAACAAGTAGACATAAGTGAGGAATAGCCACGATTTGAGGAGGAGGCGGAGGGATTTCTCGCTGGCCTCCATTACACAACGCGCGAGAGATGAGTTTGGGTTTAAATTTTTGAAATCTCCATTGCGTGAACTTCCTTTTAATTAATGGGCGT